TGGCGCTTTGATTTATGATTTTCGATAAATGCCTCAGCACTCAGCCTCAATCTGTCGAAATCTGTCGCCGCATTCCGATTCCGAATCCGAGTGCGAAGGAAAATTTGCATGCCAAAGCATTAACGCTTTGCCATTCGATAATTGCATGAAATGAAATCTGAAATCCAAAATTCCCCACACCCGGTACCCCGAGCCCTTTTCGCTACCCAATTACGATTCGAATGGATCGCTTCACTTTTCGACACGTTCACGTTTGCTTGACTTTGCCTTTGGTTCGGCCACTCCTTTGCTCCAAAAATCCCCTTCTGCATGCGAATATCGATTGAGTTGCCCATGCTCTCGCCTCCTGCTTTTTTTTTTATTCAATTATAGTTATATGGCAGCGGGGCCTCTGTCCCCGGTCCTCCGATTCTGGGTTCTGGAGTGCCAGGCAAAGTATATTTGGGTTCGGATTGGTCGGGGAGTGAGAGTGGAAAGTGGGGAGTAGGGACTGGGTCTGAAAATGCGGAATGGTTCTGCTCTGGGAGGCCAGCAGTGGGCAATAGCAAATCAAATTGCTCCGCTGTGGCTTTTCCTTACACCCAATTCATCGAAATGGCGTTTAATGGTGTGTTTTCTGCGGCTCTGTTGGGGCAAGAGATTGTCTAGCTCTCTACCATTTTTAGGAATAGCATTTATAAACTGGAAGTTTTTCGGCTTATATTGAAACTAAAGATATTTAAGTCAGTAGATGATACATTATTTTAAATTATATATAGGCAATTCTTAATAGAATAGTTCAAATATTATTTGACAACAGATCTTTTCGAAAAACCTTGCAAATAAATATTTGAAACCAATGAAATCATCACTTTTACATACTTGAAAACAGTGTATGACAACGTTTTTGAACACACATAATCAATATTAGAAGGTACTTAATATTTGATCCCATTCTTTTTAAATGTACTATGATTTAATTTGTTCTAAAGTTGGATCACCAAAATAGGTAGTGTATCCTATCTTTCTGCCTATTTCCTTTGTATTTTCTACTCTATCCTTCAGTTTCCGAATCTCAATCTATTCTCATCCCCACTTCGCATAGCACTTACCCTCTGACCAAGTGCCAAACTTTTCGAGGCAAACAGCAAACTCTCGACATGTGCGACCATGAAATCTGATATGCCACATAGGATATGGGAAGGGGAAGAGTACTACCCTGCCTGCAACGTGCTGCTAATAGAATAATTCGTTAATGTAACTACAAGATTCAGAGATGCGCCGATAGACAATAATCCATTGACGACAGCCAAAGTAACAACAGAAGCCCGGCGATTATCATTGCCTTTTTATCTAAATTTAATTCGATGCGAACGAGAAGATTGCTCTTTTGGCAGTTCGAAATCCATCTGTTCGAGCAGATTATGGGGAGATACTTAAATTACTTAATGCAATTAGGGTGTGAGTGCAAAAATAAAAGAAAGCATAAAACCAAAGTTCAAAAAAACTGAAATATGATTTATATAACTCTGTGATACATATAGAGGGGGTTTAATTTTAAATAAATAAAAGGCAAATGATCTGTTTTTACTATTTCTAAAACCGATTATTTATATTTCTATATATTACGTTAACTATTTGGAATTGTTTAGTTTTTATCCACAAGCCCCCTCACAAATAAATAAAAAAAAAATACTACAATAAATCTAAAGCGTTTTAAAACCTCTATATTTTCACCGATTCACAATCAATCTATAGCTTAAAACTTTAGTTCTTGAACCTTTATATTTTTACCGTTTGAACTTATATTTTGTCCATAAATGTATTTTAAAGATCTACAACTAATCTTTATCTAAAAACATATGTTTAGGAACATCTTTATTTTCACCCTTCAAATTTATATTTTATCCTTAAATATATTTTTCAGATCTACTCACATGGATGGGTGGCGGCGAAGGGGTAGTCGAGGGTCGGCAGGCGCGGAGGATGGGGGCCGCAGGGGTGCAGGGCTGGAGGACACTGGTAGCAAAACATTCCTCTGCCCGCGGCTGCAGGACCGAGCTGAAATCGAAATCAAAGTGAGAAATCAGTATCGAAATCGGAATCAAGGGTTACTCATCGATCGAAATTGAGAAAAAGAATCTTTAAATTGCATGTAATTTTGATAAATTCACTTGCCAATCACGACAATGATAATAACGATGATCATCGTCGTGAGTGAACGAGAAACTTGTAATTTAAGTGCACAATTCAATTGGAGACATGCGGGCATTTTTGTGGGGCGACTTTGCGTCGCCTTTAATGTTGTCATATGCACCTCAAACTCAATTCGATTCAATTAAAGGCAATTACAGACTTCTGACAAATCATCCACAATCGATTTCATCTGCTTTTGCATCTCCGTTTTTATGTTTCTGTTTCTGTTTCAATTTCCCTGCTGCATTGTGTGTCGTCTGCATACAATTAAATTGTCCTCAAACGAATCAATTGATTTAAATTAATTGCATTTGCCGCAAAAGACTCGGCATATAACTATGGCCGTAACTGTAACTGGTCTTGATGAACTCACTTCAGTTATGAGTCGATGTTTTGCGTTTTGCTGGCGCCTTTCCCAATGCAGTTTGCAGCTTAATTAGTCGAGGAATTTCTCTGCAGGCATAACCAACGGGGAGGGAAAGTTGAATTTGAAAATTCTATATCTTTGAGATACGAAAAGGGCAGGGAAAGAAGTCGCAGTGTCAAGCTAGAGATTGTCAGATAGCCAAGATCAGAGAAAGGCGCTGGGAAAGTGCATTTTCCCTTTGGTAAATTAAAATTGAAATTGATATTGGTGGGAAAAGTGTTTTTGCCGAAGATGGTAGTTCTTTAATTTGTTTGGAGGACTTAAATAATATTTTAGGTTTGAGAATAACCCAAAAATTTATTCTAACTACAAATTATTTAAATCATTAAGGCAGTTCAGCCAATAAAAATATTGATTCCGTTATCAATAAGTTATAATTTCATCCCATTTCCTAAACCCAATCCACAAAATATTTCTTTATTTACAGATGGACACAGTCCAATTTCCTGTGTTGGCTCAACAACTATGGTTCCTCTTTTTGGGCTATCACATTTTCCGTTACATTTCAATCGCAATTAAAATTAATTGTAACTTCTATATGACACATTACCCAGTCAACCAGACAACCGAAACAGTTGCACCATCCGGATTGCAGGTGGGGCCTTCGCCTTGCCTGTCGGCACAGTTTTAATTTATTTGAGTAAATTTGTTAAAAAAATTTTATGAATTTTATTTATGGGTGCTCGCCACACGACTGTTGGCAGTGGCACCCACAATATATACAGCACCACCCAACGGACACCACCCACCGCCCACCGCCCCATGCACCACAAGTGTTAGCATATCATGTTACAGACTATTTCCGCCAAGTTTACACACGCAAAATAATTTAACGTGCTCAGCGGCAGCGCGTGTCCTTCCTACGGGTGTGTCCTTAGTGCACTGAGAATAAAGGAAATTCCTAAAAAGTGTACCACAAAAAAATTAGAGAAACCTTTAAAACGTTACCCATAATATATAATAGGTTTAGTCTCACAGGCTTTTTCCTTTCCTTATTTTACAATTTGATGTATATCATTAGTCTAGAGCTTCTCTATTTATAAGAGATAATTCTTAGGCGGCAGTGTCGGAAACCTTTTTTAATTTACTAGCATAATATTTTCGTCATTATTACCTATGTCATTTTTTTAATTTCAAATATGTTTTTTTCAGTGTCCTGGTAAAGCCTGCTATTTCCTGGTCGCAGATGTGGCCGCGATCCCACAAGTCGAGCCCCGACAAGTGGCGCCAATAAATTTCCATTTAGTGCGGGAATGAGTCCTCACCCTCACCTGTCCCTTTCGCACCGCCCCCTTTTCTGGCCACGCCCCTCCCTCCAGGGGCGCCGGCATTCCATTAGAATTGTGAGAATTTGTAATTTTGCATAATTGTTATATTTGGAGTCCGTCGGCCGCAAAACTCATTTGCCAAATGGAAAATTGCCATTTCGTGTCTAATGTTGCACATGCGGCCTGTTGGCTGTTGGCTGTTGGCAACTGAATGCTGGGTGTTTTGGCCCTGGGTCCAGAGGACCAGGCTCTAAAGTTTTAGTGCCATCGCCAACAGAGGGATTTCCACGGGCAGAAGATGGGGTTTTTGGGGCTGGCAGGCCGTTACTGGTGTTGTTAGTGAATTAATTTCCAGTGAATAATTTATGCTGAATTATTTTGGCCGTATTAAATAGGCACAGCAGAGGGGCTTTTGCGGCGCCGAGTTGTAGAGTAGTGGAGCAGAGCAGAGTACCCGGATAATACTACTCCCATGTGCGTTTCGGAATCGCCCGAAAGCTCTCACTTGTGTTTGGACCTTGGGGCGTTACATTTAAATCAAATCAAAATGCTATTTCTGAAATTGATTTTTGAAATTTTAATGTCCCGGACATGGAGCAGCGGAGATTATGAGGACCACTGTAATGGAATGGTGATATGGGCCAAATTAGTTGGCACAACTATGAGACACAAATTGGACAGGGCTTTTACTTTGGCCATGAGCTCGCATTAGACCTAAAGCGCTTGCGAAAGGATATTTTGCAGGTGAAATAACCAAGGAATAATAACTATAGGGAAGCAAAATGGATTGAGGTCACTTTATTCCAACAATGTAATGCCAGAAACTAATATTATTTTGTAATTGTGGTATTTTTTAAAAGATCTAGTTTTGTTGCTAAATAAACACCTTCAGTATATCACGCGTGTCAATTAGTTAATGTGCAAATGGGATTTATTACGACAAACCATAAAAAAAGTTGACTTAAACCTAGGTAAATTTTTGAAATAAGTACAGAAGACTAAGACCAGTTATACTGTCAGTTCTCCGTCAAATCGACTTTAGTCTTATCGCACCATCTGAAAGCGACAGTTCACAGAGCAACAACAAGAAAATGAAGTTTTTCACATCTGTATCCTTGTTGTTTATCATAATGAATCCTGCCCAAGGACAGACTTATGAGGATCGTGAGTATTGCTTTAAAATTTCAGTGGCCATACTTTATTTAAATTCTCCATTTAGTCGTCTGTTCCTTGGAACCCCTGCCTGTGGGGCTATGTGTCAATAGAATTGTGGGATATACCTATTCGGAGGTAAAAAACCGGTGCGTAATCTATGAATCCAGGGGATGTGAAGTGAGAGGAAAATACTTTACTAACAGAGACGAATGTGAGGTCAAATGCAAACCGGCGTCCACCCTTAGAATTAATCCCTTCAGTTATTATGTGGAAAGGTATTTTTTTGAAAATTCGAAACCTTTTAACAAGACTTTTTAATTCAAAAAAATTGTAAAGTATTTGTTCCTTGTTGTTGAACAAAAGACCCTAAGTGTTAACAGATCATGATCATAATAAATATGGTAATAAAACTATTTATTTCCGCTATATGTAATTTATAACTTATTTTATAAGATACGTAGAAGAAATATATACAATATATACAAAATATCTATAGTTCAAAAACTGAATAATATGAAAACTTTACTTTAAAGTTTTCGCCTGATCATTTTCCCACTCCACTTAAAGTGCCTACTTTTGGGCTGACCCTGCTAATTGTCATCACCTGCAAACTTCGCCACCTGAAAGGGAGTTGTTGTTGCTGCTCCTGGTGTTGCTGTTGCTGCTGCATTGCAATTGGTGTTGCAACTGTCGCTGGCAACCGGCAACTGGCGACGCCAAGCCAAATGCAATTATCCAATTGCACGAAATGCACTTGGCAATGTTTGTGGCCTAGACAATGCAACACAACTCGCTGCGTGTGAGTGTGTATCTGTGTGAGGGCGTCTGCGAGAGTGTGTGAGTGAGTATCTGTGTGTGGATGGTGCAGCAGCACACGCGAAATTCAATTAGTGCGCACTAAACAGCGCAACGATTTCGATTTGACTGCACTCCCCAAAACGCCAAGCGAAATCGTAGGGAAAACGCGGGATGCAGAGCAAAAAAATTGTGAAACTTAGATACCAGTAAATTATGTCTTCTTAAAAGAACCAAAATTTAGAAATTTCAAAACTTGTAGTTTTTTTCCACCTGTTTAAGTTACTATTGGTCCTTCGAGCCGGATATTTCTCAAATTTTGTATAATTCAAAGGTGTGTTGTATAAGATGCGATGAAAAATTCCTGCAAATCAAAATCTGAGTTCAGGGACCGTTAGTTTTTTCAGTGCAGGGAAAATGGATGGAAAATGCAGAATAGGGAAGAGCGGGGTGGTGAAAGGGCTGGCAGATTGGTGGAAATCTGTGTGGTAAGCCTTTGTTGTCCAGTCGGTCCTCGGACATGGGGTTTAGTAATGGAAGCTTGCGCTAGTTTCTGCCACGAGCCGTCGCCAAAAACGGGGAAATTCAATCAGAGCGGGAGGATTACGATTTGGAGGGGACTTTGGAAGCGGATGTGGATGCAGTGTTCGCAAAATTGCATTAGGTGGCGGAGAGAAGTTGGAGGAGACAGCTTGAAAGGTCTGAAATTGCAGGAAATAGGACTGTTGAACAACTCAGTTTAATGACAATTAAACCGTTTTACAATTAGAAAAGTTTATCTAAGCAGATATTCAAAGTGACTATGATTATTTAACCATTTATCGTAGAAACTATGAGAATATTGTTCAAGTGTTTTTTGAATAAATATTTTATTTGATTGAATTCCAAATTATTTTAATAAATTTTCATGCAATCACAGCTGATTTCGAACTTATTTCCATATAGCGCTCCCCCATCTATTTAATTGTGCCTTCTGAGTGCCTGAAGTCCACAAAATAAAATACGAAATTAACTCAAAATTAATTAAAACGCATCAGAACATAATGCAATTTGCTGCAGCGGCAGAAGCGACAACTGCTGAGGGCATTATGCAACAGCTGCAGCTATAAAAAGTAATATAAATATAAATTAATAATGTCACGAATGACAACAGCAACAACAACAACAGCGGAGAGACAAAACGAGCAATTGCATTAATTGAGCAAACAACAAAGTGGGAAATGCAATGCGTCTGGACAACGGAAAACCCAACAACATTGGATGCACATGAATATGGATGAGTCTGCTCTGGACTCCAATGCCAATGCACTCTCCATGCAACAAATGCATTTCGCTGCGCCGGCGAAATAAAAAAAATAATAAAACGAGGAGCAGGAATTATCAACTGTCGCTTGATTAATTTGAATTAACCAAATTAAAAATGGAAACACAAGTCAATCAGCGAGTGCAACACCCAGAAGCGATGAGTTTGGGGGAGACGAAAGGGGCTAGCAGAAGGAGAATATGGTTAAGTACTATATGAATATTTCGATTCTACTGGAAAAGCTAATTTTTAAAGGGTGTATCTGCAACTTAAGCCTTAAGCCATCCTAAAGTTTGATAAAAAAGATAAGCAAAAAGTATATATTATATGGCACATTGATTTTATGTTAACTAAATTAACAGAAAACATTAAAATTTTAAAGGTGATCTTTCATTCGTTATTTTTCTAGGAATTTTTCCCCTACAGTTCCACCATTCCAGCAGCTTTCAAAGATCAGATTGATATTATTTCTAAATCATTTCTGATCTTAAACCTTCTGAAGGTCAGACTAACAGCTGACCACCGACGACCTCCTTTCGTTCAGGGGCAGCTGGACTAATGGATTTATCGGCCGCCTGAATCTCGGTTCGCCAAATCACTACTAAACGAGACGAGCTGAGATACGGATTCGCAAGAGTGCAGTGCACACTGGAAAGTGGCATAATTCGCAGCCAGACCAGACGGCACTGTTCTACGGCATGGTATCGTATGGATATCGTATCCATGGGCATATCCACGTGCGCATCCCTGCTCCAAAACCCCGTCCCGCTGGCATTAGAGCCACTTAAACGCATTTGCGAAATTGCCTACCGCCCACCCACACACTCGTTTAGCTCTCTAGTTTTCCTAGTTTCCAGTTTTTTGTTTGCCCCAAACCGAAAGCGCGATAATTTCCCACTGAGGTGAGATGATATGGAAATTGGGGGGCCGACCAGGAGGAGGTGGCAGGAAAACGCTCGGCCAGCGATGAGGTTATCACTTTTGCCACCGAAGTAAAGTGCATCCGTTTTTAGAACTGTCCGTCCGTCCGTTCGTCTGTCCGTCCGGCATAATCAAACTAAACTGGCGCAGTCTGCCACTGATGATCCAACTTGGAGTGGGCTTTCATATGACGCGCGTAACAGTGAACACTCTGTGTGGCATAAGGATTTTCAAATAGAGTAAAAAAAGGGATCATCAAAATGTAGCTGAGTAGGAGGGGGGTATGAACCCTCCAATTCCCCCAAAGGACCCGAGCTAAAAACATATGTAAGCCGGTCATCTAACCTTTAAGATCTTTGTAGATTGACATAATTTGTATTTATTAATATATACAAATTAATATAATATACAAATTATAAACACTATAATCTTTTAAACTCCAGTAGGTATACCTCAAAATTTTGGAAATCCTTTAACAACTATCTCTACTGTCCATTCAAACTATTTGCATATGCCCCCATCTAAGTATCCCTCTTGATTGCAGTTTTGGTTGGGCTATCTTCTTTTTTTGTTTTTGCTGGTTTTGTTTTTGTCTCGCGGCGCATTAAGCGAATTTGTGAGGTTCGAATTTGATTGTGTCAATTGGCTCGCGCCTAGAATCAGAGAATCAGAGCCTCAGTGTAAATCAGACCGAAATGATGCCGTGCATTTGTGTGCAGAGCCACCCACCAACAAATCAGCGCCTGAGAATTGCACTGCAAAAAATTTAAGTAAATTAAATTAGCAAGCCACGATGCACCCCCGCCAGTTTTTCGTGTCCAAGTGTCGCCAGTTTACCCAAAACTCGAAAGCCAAACAGAGCCGATTTCGAAAGCAAACCCTTCAATTTGCGTGGCATATATATATGATATATACCAGTCTTCGGGGCGCCCGCATGGGGAGGAAAAGCCGTTGTTTTATAAATATTTTGATTGAATTTTCTGTTTAATCAAAGCAAATTGTTTTGTGCATTTCATTTGGGTAAGGGGACGGGAGGTGTTGGTCCCATATATAAAGCTTTGCGGGGGGTCGTCGAGTTATTGAAAAACATAAGGGATAAGATTAAGTGGAATAGGGTATTCTTTATAGAACGTTGACAAACTTTTAAGAGATAAAATAATCATAAAAATCATTGATTATTAATTTGAATTTGATCACTGATTTCTGAACAATGACTGATCTTAATTTTATTATCCTTAACCAATAAAAATATTTGTACTATCACTTTTTTCACATTGGTGAGTTTATAAATATAATCAAAATAGTATGTAATGGGATCATAATAAAACCTTTATAGAAACAAATCTTGTCAAAATTCATAGTCCTGCGACATGTCTAATTTGCATATTGAATGCCCCTATCTGAGTGAGTGGGTCCCAGTCTATCCATCAATTTGGCCCATTTACCAATTCGATGTTCAATTCAATCAAGCAATCAATAAACATGGCTGAACTAACCTCCTTCGGACTAACGTTCTCTATGATAATTCCATTTGCTAATTTAAATATACGAAATTGTATTTTATTTGTATGCGGTCCAATGACACAGCCCGCTTTTTAACCCCCTTCAATCCCCACTTCACCGCCTTTTTACCCCCCACGTTCCCACTTCTCGCTCCACCCATGTTTCCCTAATTGAGTTGAACGAATCGAACAAAACTTGGCGACGAATGGAAAAATCGTTCGTCAACTCCAATTGACTCCTCTGCGGATCCAGTACTCCCCCTCGAAACCCCGCCCCTGTCTGCCACCCACAGCCCCATTTTTTGGGGGCGTGGCATCCAGTAGAGCGTTGAACGTTTGCATGGCTGCCAATTAATTTGCGGTTGATCAATTTAATTTGAAACTTCGTTTTCCCCCGCATTTTTTTCAGTCCGCTCTTTGGCGAATTATTTGCCATTGATTTTGTACCCTTGTTCCCTCTCTTTTCCGCACCCGGAACCCATGCGCTGTCTCCTCTTTTTTCCTCTCTTAATTACCATCAATTATTCAAACTGCATTTGCGGAGTGATCAACTTTTGGTCTGTCTTCAATTAAGCGGCGAGTTTTAAACCGAAATCCCCTTTCCTTTGCGAGTGGAGGCAATATCCTCTTGGATCCCTGCTGCCGAATCCTTTATGCATACACCAATTTTGGTTTTAAGGAATCCCCTGAATCCTCAGTTTTTTTCTCATTTGCTCTTCAAGTGTTCACGAGTTTTGTGCGATTTCTCACAGGAAAGGCATCGGGACAAACACTTTTGCCAGACACTTCAACACTCACACAAAAACCCACATGAGCCAGGAAACTTTGGGATTCGGGACTCTTGAAAACCGAGATTTTTATCACATTGGAACTCATTAGGAAATTCCTTAATGCAAATTAAAAGCGTCTAAATAAATTATAAGCACAATGTGCTGTGCATTAAGTGGGAAGATTGTCTTATGAAATCAGTATGGGTTTTGGGAAAGACAATGGATTCAAGTACTTCATTTCTTATCCTCAATAATAATTCAATTTATGTGTTTAATTGTAGATTGATAATACTTTTATGAATATAATTTATCATTTTTCTAGTTATCCGCTTTGGAACTTTACTTCCACAAAAAGTTCCTAGCCTTGTTTTCGAGGATATTCAAATTTGTAAAATATCAAAATATAAGATGTTTTGTATTATATCCGCCATTGCTAAGGGATCAGGTTTAAAACTGTTTATAAATGAAACTGTTCCATAAAATGAACCAAAGGATTTTCCAAGGCTTAATACTTTGAAAAACAACCTACAAATAACCATGTTTCTTGTATCCCTAAAATCAACTTACCTTATTACCGTCCGTGAAAATTTTGGCAGCAATACTTCAAGCGTGTCACAGAAGAAAATCCCTTGTCGCTGCTGTTTTTTAGCTTTTTGGCTCTGAGCTCTTTTTGAGTTTAACTTTTTCGCAATTTTCACAGCACGAACTCACGTAAGACAAAGGTGCGAAAGTTTTCTCGAGCGTCTAAACACTTGGCAGGAAGTTTGGCCAAAAAGTTCTTGCGAGGATGTGTGCAGGAATCACAAAGGATGTCGACGAAAGTTTAAGATTCTACTGCGAATTACACACTCAATCTGAGAGGTAATAGGCCGCAAAAGTAGTTAGTTTTGGGTTAAGAGCACACACAAGTGGGGTTAGCACTGGGAGATTATTGCAGTTTTTTGAGGGATCTTTTTCAAGGATCTTGACTTTACAATAGTTTTCAACAGAACCGTTGTGCCGACGGAAAAGCTTCCTTTTCAGATATCAAAGTGTCATTTAATCCAGTTGGGTATTACGTATTTTGGGGGTTTTTAACTATGGTCCATGTGGAATATAGTATCAGATGGTATCGAACCGACCGCGTGGAACGTCAGAATGCGAATGATCTAACGGTGCCTGTGCCACT